ATTGTGGGTGGTACCACCCTGGGCTGGTGGTCCTGGGTTCTATAAGAAAGCAGGCTGAGCAAGCCATGATGAGCAAGCCAGTAAGCAGCACCCCTCTGAGGCCTCTGCGTCCTGTCTCCAGGTTCCTGCCCTGCTTGAGTTCCTGTCCTGACTTCCTTGATGATGAACAGCAATGCTGAAGTGTAAGCCTAATAAACATATGCAGGCAACACATAAAATAATAATTTTAAAATACACCAGGGCTACCATTTCGCTTTGCTCATTGGTCCTCAGCATCTGAGAACTGTTACTAGGTGACTGGAATCCATGGCCCCACCTACAGGGAGGAAGTGCCCTGCGTATGCCCCTTCTTGGAAGGTTCAGCCCTTGAACTATTTGCCTATTCTGTGGACTGTTCAAGAGCACTTTTACTTTGCCATGTACAAAGACAAAGGGCTCCTACAGCTCAGACAAAGCTGACCTTGTGTGGAAAGAGCGAGCTGGCTGGAAACACTGAAACAGTATTTGAACCATCTTTTGGATTCTATGCATATTCAAGGTCTGCAAATTTCCAGTGTCAAAAAAAAAAAAAAAACTACAGAAAGTACTAACTATGAAAGGGGAAAAGGGATAAATTGGACTTCATTTAAAATTCAAAAACCTTCTACTCATTAAAGACACAATTAGAAAACAAAAGGGCAAGTCACAGACTGGGAGACACATTTACAGCAGCCCTGACACAGTCCTGACAAGCAGGGTCTGTACAAGAAAATCACCACACAACCAGACCAAGAGGTAAGAACTCCAGTTAGAAATAGCAAAAAAATAAAAATAAAACTCAACAGAGATCTCTCAAAAGAAGTCATCCATGTGGCAACCATACACAAGAGGCTCAACCACAAAAGCCATCAGGGAAACGCAGGTGACCCTCACAATAAGAAGCAACTTCACTATGGGAGGCTGACACCATCAAACATTAGTGTTGAGGTAGAGCAACTGGAAAGCTCCAGCTGCTGGTGCAGGTATGAACCAGCCTGGCAAATCAGACAATCATGTTACAGTTCCCTCCCTCCCTCCCTCCTTCCCTCCCTCATTCCCTTCCATTTACCCGTTAATTTTACATGTAAGTAAATATTTGTGTGTGCACAGGATCACACAAGTGCACAGGTGCATGTAGAGGCCAGAAGACAACCTCCAGTGTCATCCTCAGCAATGCTATCTGCCTAGGTTTTGAGGCAGTCTCTCACTGGCCTGGAGCTCACCCACTGAGCTACACTGTCCAGCCAATAATCCTCTGTCTTTGCCTCCTTGGTGCTGGGATTACAGGTGTTGTTTTGTGGGTTCTTGGGATGGAACTCAGATCCACACAGGACATGCTACACTGAGTCATCTCCTCAGCCACATGTAACAATTTCCTATGAAACTACACATGACCCTATCATGTGACCTAGCAGGTTTTCACCCAGGGAAGTGAGAAGAAGTGAAACCAGACATCTACAGTGAGACTTGTATGGCAATGCACCCAGCTTAGTTTACAACAGCTCACAGAGAGGAGCCAATCAGTGGTCTTCAGGAAAGTGGAGAACCTGCTCACAGAAAATAATAAAAAAGGGGATGCTTCACAGCAACACACAGGCTACCACAACACAACACTGTAGACACTGGCTGAATCAGCAAGTCAAGGCTAGGCCTGGACTCCAGCAACAGACACAACTCCTGTATGGTGACAGAATCCAGGAAGATGCTTGCCTCTGATGGGATTGGAGGGATAGCTGGACCGCTGCCGGGGAGAACGTTCCATCACTGTGACAAAACTCCTGAGCTAATTAGTTTATGAGGAGGGAAGGTTTACTGCCAGAGGATTCAGTCATTGGTCATTTGTCCCTGTTACTTTGTGTCTGTGGCTACACAGCATGCCATAGGGGAGTCTGTTTAACCTCATGGCAGCCAGGAAGTACAGAGAGAGAGATAGAGGCAAGGGATGGGGGGGGGGGGCTCAAAATTTCTGTCAATGGCCACATCTCCACAATGACCTTACTTCTTCCCACCTAGCCCCCTCATCCTAAAGGTCCTAGGATTTCCCAATTAGAGCATTATAGGTTGGGGCTGAGTCCTGAGCGCAAGACCTCTGTGGGGGGAGGCTGTCTAGACCACTTGGAGGGACAGTCTAGATGTAAGCTAGAGAGCTGAGGAAAACACACATCTCTTTTGCAGCTAGAGACACAGGCATGTACATGTCAGAACACGCTGAATCCTTCCCAGGCTCCATGTGTATTGCTGTATGCTCAACTACAAAAGAAATTACTAGAATAATAGTCACAGCCTTAGGACACACAAGCGCAAACAGACACCATGCTTGTCTGCAGTTCTCCCACCCGGGAAGCCCAGCCCAGTTCCACTCCCATGAGTGCTGTCCCTATCCTCCACTCTCCCAGGGATGCTGGCAGGACTCATGGCCTACTATGCTACAAAAAGGCGATTTTGGTTACTTGCCAATGGCCTTGGAGAGAAGGATGCTCCTCACCCACCAAATCCTAATCCCCAGAACCTGAGATGTCGCCCTATTGATACATGGACACTTAAAAGACAACTGAGATTGCAGAAGGACTTGGAGCTTCCTATTAGGCAGCTTGGACCTTGCCTGCTGGGCCCTAAAAGTGGTGACAGGGAGGCAGTAGGGGTATGTCTGAGAGATGTAGCCAGAGAGTGACCCCATCCACAGTGGCTGCCGCAGAAGTGAGAAGAGGCCACAGCCAAGGATGCAGTCTCTAGAAGCTAGGAAGGGGGAAAACAGATCCTCTCTCTCCAGGGATTTCAGAAGGAGCCTATCCTACCAATGTCTTGACTGAAGCCAGGTGAGACCCCTGCGTCTTCTGACTTCCATGCAGCAAGGGGATGGATCTGTGCTGCTGATGGATCTTAAGAGGCACGAGACCATGCAATTTAACTCTATTGCCATGCTCAGTGAGATCTGAAGGCAGTGGCGCTCAGGAGCAGGTGAGACAGACTCATAAGACACCACTGCTCCATGACATAGTTTGGGCAGAGTGCTAAGAGCCATTCTGTGCTTCCAGATAGACCAGAATGTGAGCATGGTCCTTGGAGTCAGCACCAACCCAGGCACACAACTCTGTTCGACCAAGGACATCATTGTGTGGATCTGAGAGGGAGCCCGGAGCCCAACAAGGAGTCTCCTCATCACCCTGAAAGTACCTACTGTAGGACGAGTATCCGTCTGGCAGGCTCTACTGTTTGTGGGGAAGCTATAATCACTCCCAGAGTTGGCGGGCGGGTAGGGCAGGGTGCTCTTCACCCTCCAGCCTACTCTAAGCCACTATTCTCCACAGGATGAAGAAAGTAGGTTAATGACCCCTCATGTAACCCCTAGGACTGCCCTGTTCAGGTGGGACTCAGCCACATTTCCAATCAAAAGCAGAGGTTGGGGTGACCCACTGGCTCTGAGGATAAGTATGGAAGGGGAGGAAGTGATGTCCCCACTCCAAACATCAGGGCCTGAGGAGATAGGGAGTGAAGACAAGGTCATGGATGGGGCAGGGAAGCCTGCTTTGCAGGGGGAAGCTGGGACCAGACCAGGGCTGGATGGAGGTTAGGCGCTAGGACAGATCAGTTGATATCTGGCGATCAGTGTTCTTGTGGCCTCATCCAGCAAAACCTGCTCTTGCCACCCACTAGCTAACTGCCCATCTGCCACCTCATGCTACGTCACTTCCAGTCTTGTCTTTCAAAGTCTGGCTGGCTGGGCTGGGGATGTAGCTCAGTGGATAGGGAGCTTGCTTAGCATCCATGAAGCCTTGAGTTCCATCCCTCCATCCCCAGCACCATAGGAGCCAAGTAGCGCATACCTGTTGTCCCAGCACATGGGAAGAGGAAACAGAAGGACCAGGTGTTCAAGGTCATTCTTACCTACATGGGGAATTAGAGGCCTGCCTGGGCTACATGAGACTCAACAACAAAAACATAAGCAAACAAAAGGGCCTGACTTAGGTCCAGAATTAGATAATACATAATACAACCTAGCAATTGTACTGAGCAGCCCCACAAAGGGAGGCTTAGGACACACAGACCCTCCTGTCTCAAGGCCAAGTTCTCAGAGAAAAGCTTTCTGAGTGACCAACAGACTCTCCAAAGCCCAGCAGGCTTGAAGGATCCCAGTGGCAGGAGGTGCTTCAGACAGTACATATTCCTAGACCCTCCCTGGCCCAGGCAACCTGACCAGGACCCAGAGACTCCCTGTGGAGCATCAGACAGGGCATCTCAAAATACATCCTGAAGGGCACATTTGAACAAAGTTCAATGGGCCACAGGGTCCACACAGACAACACAGCCAGTATCTTCAGAGGCATGTGGCTGCTTTTGGGGGAGTGCTGTCAGCCCAGGTGTTCACACAGAAGAAAGCAGATCTTAGAGGTGACCACAGGTCACCAAGGAGTCCCTTCCGTCCAAGACTCAGGTCTCTCTGCTTCTTCCAGACCATTTCAGGTAAGTGGCCACTGGCATTATAATCAGAGCAATCCTTTCCCACCAGAGCAAGGCTTTCCAGCTGTTTGAGGAACAGCTCTAATGCATAGTGCCTGGACAGCTTCGGCAGTGAGCACTGTGTGGTACCCCCTGGGGAGGGTCTGGAGAGCTCTGCTCATCAGTGGAAAGTGACCTGGGTTCTAATACCCAATCTGGAGGCAGAAAAAAAAGACATTCACTCAACCCGAGTCTCCTGAGGCTGGCAAGGACATACACTCCAAGTTCACACTCCAGGTTTGCACCGGACACACAAAGGGCTGCCCTTTAACAGAACCTGCACACCAGTCTATTGAGCGGTTCTGGTTTAGATGGAGCCCACTGGAACGGGACCAGCCAAGCCATTTGCAAGGATACAGAGAAGCCCTGGGTTTGGAACCTGGCCTTCCACGGTGTGGCCACAACCAGGCCCTTGCTACACACTCCAGCCGAGCAGCGCCCCCCCCCCCCCCCCGATTCAGCCTGGCCCTGTGAGGCCGCCTTACCTGCCTGGCTGTCCCGGGGTCTGCACTGCACCTCTTCCACACACTCAGCCGGGAACCACCCGATATGGCCACGGGCGCTGCCTTCCCAGAAGCCACCCTCGCCGATGCTCAGAACTAGAGGAAACAGAAAGGAGAAAGGCATCAGTAATGGGGACAGAAGGGACTAAGCAATGGGACACCAGACAACAGGCAGAGGGAGCGAGGGCCAGCAGCTTGGCCGATGAGGCTGGGTAACCTTCAGAGAACACAGTGCCAAGGGGTGGGGCAGCCCCAGCCCACGGATCTCTCCCCCCTGGCGGGTGATGGAGGAGAGTGAAACCCTAGAGAGCCTTTTTCCTATTTTATTTTCTTCTTTGTGTGTGTGTGTGTGTGTATGTGTGTGTGTGTGTGTGTGTGTGTGTGTGTGTGTGTGTGTGTGTACACGTGTGCACCAGGTTCTGGAGCAGGGTCCCGAGGACCTCACAGTACCCTCTAGCCTCATTAGAATAAAGATTTCATTTATGAAGGCAAGGCTGGGATGACCTGTTCAAAACAGATCTGTGTTGTCTGAACATGGCATGTGAAGGAGCTTGCTATCCTGTCCATACATCTTAATCTGCCTTGAAATTATTTGAGACTCAAAGCCCTGTCGTGGAGAAGAAGTGGTCCCAGCACGAGTATTTCTTTCCATTATTCTGACCTCAAATGGCAGATAAAGATCTGCTCAGTCCGTGGATATGAAAGGGACAGAACAGCAAACTCTGGCTTTGTAAATTCTTGTCTAATAATCTGAGGAAATGACCCAAATAAAAAGAGACAAGCCACTTCCATGCTGACTGATACCATCATATTTGCTTGAAACAATTTCCTCGAAGTGTGGATTCACGGATGTGACCTCTGCCCTCCACACAGCTCAGCGGGAGGAGAGTCAGCTCAGCCTTCCAGCTCTGGACCTGAGAAGGTCATCTTGGAACATGGCCCTGGGTGGAAGAGCTGGGTCGTGCAGTGAGGCCCACAAAGACCCCCCCCATGCCCATTCCTCAGAGCCTTGAGCGCAAGCAGCTGCACACAGAGGTGTCATCTGGTAATTTAGGATTTACCAGCTCTGTGCCCTGGGGCATTTTAGTGACATGGGAACAAGGAAACAACAGGATGCCAGGAGAGCCAGGTAAGATACGCCTGTGTGGGAGCAGACATGTCCAGGTAAGAGTGGGCGTGCCTGTGGGGAAGTGTCTTTTGGAAGTGGGTGTGCCTGGGTGGGAATGTCTTATACAAGTGGGTGTGTCTTGTGGGAGTGTCTTATGGAAGTGGGTGTGTCTGTGTGGGAGTAGGTACACCTTGCCTCATAAAGAGGGAGTCAGGCTTGGCTTCCTTGTAAATCAATATTTAATTCAGAATAGCAAAGATTGTTCTTCTTGTTTAAGACAATGTGTATAGATGAGGGAGTCTCCTCCACAGAGCAGAACAGGAAATTGCACTGGCCTGGGAGTAATGAACTTGGGCAGAAGAGACTCATCCAGGCCAGACCTAGGGACAGAGAGCAGACTGGGAGAGGTCAGGGAAGAGCCAGAACTTCTGATGACCAGAGAGAGGGCAGAGTGACGACATCACATGCCAGACACCCTTCCTGAGGAAGGGTACACTTAGCACCCAGAACCTTCTGGAAGAAAGGACCATCCTAACTCTACACCTATCTCAGCACAGTACTGTAAGTCACTGATGGGGGCAAAGAGCTCCTCGTCCACTTTCTACAGGTCCAGCACTATCCAAGCAGCTGTCACGACAGGAGGCTCCCCACTACAAGACTTGATTTTCACACCCAGGCAAGACTGGGTGTGAAAATCAGCCAGGAACATGGAGGAGTGAGGACCTGGAAGGTGTCCTCCTGCTTGGGACACATCTTGGGCCACCCCACACATATGCCACCTTCTGCTTGGATGTGGCCTGGATGTTCAGCCACCCTGACCTCCTGGACAGCCGGTCCTGCTGCCTGGAGGCTGCTTGCCCAGGACCAGCAGTGGCTGTTTCCAGCTGGCTTCCAGTGCCACCCAGGCAATGATGAACATGCTGGGGAGGTGCCAAGGACCTGTTTAATCTAAGCTTCCTCCAAACACTGCCATGCCTGGCAATGGCTCCAGCTGCTCTGTGCTTGAGAGAATGGCAGTAAGGACACAGGCTGGGGAGGACAGGCTTGCTGGACAGAGGTGCGGGGAGGTCTTCAAAACCTGGGCTTTGTGGGCCTCTGTGCCTCTGGCCTGCCTCTGCCAGCTCCACATGTGTGGTCTAAGAACCACACAAGCCACGGGGCTAGTGACACTACCAGCTCAGATGGAAGCCTCCCCATGGCACACCTACAGTGCTCTTCTGCAATCTGCAAAGTCAGGAGAAGTGAGATGTATCTTGAGAGGCCACTGTACTGATGTGAACAGCAACTATCCAGAGCTATGGCTTTCTATGCACCTGCTATGTTGATAGGGTTAGAAATGGACTCTGGTCCAGGGAGGGTCATACTGTATGGGTGTGTGTGTGTGTGTGTGTGTGTGTGTGTGTGTGTGTGTGTGTGTGTGGTGTATGTATTCATGTAGACGTGCACATGTGCATGCATGTGTGTGTCTGGTTGTGTGGTTATCATTAGGTGTCTTCTTCACTCACCTTCCTGCAGTACTTTTGACACAAGATCTCTCATGAAACCTGGGGCTCACTGATTCTATTAGGCCAGGGAGCACCAGGATCCACCTGTCAAGATCCTCAAGAGCTGGGATTTCGGGTGCATGCTGCGGTACCTGACTGTTGACATGGGGACCAGGGATCTGAACTCAAGCCTTCATGCTTGCTCAGCAAACACTTTACAGCTGGAGCCCCAGTCCTGGCAAGGATGTTCTAAGCACCATTTATGGCGGACCTGAGAGAACACTATAAATGAAGTTGTCAAGGAGGCACCTGCCCAGCTGCCAGCACACCGCACCTGCCAAGTCTGTACCCCGTGTATTGCTGGTGAGCCTGACACACCATGCATCTGTTGTAAGATCAACCCATATCACCCACTTGTGCAGGAAAATGGCCTGGTCCTTGGTGGGTTGTATGGATGAAATTCAGAATTGTATCTCCTGGTAAGTTTTTAATTCTTGCATTCATACATTTGCAGAGTCCAGGGACCTAATGGGTATGGTAAGCAAGGATTCCAATAGATCCCAGTGTGGAGAAGAGTTTTAAAGCCTAATAACACAAACAGCCACCATCAGGTGGTGTTAGCCCTTGTGCAGAGGCAGTCAGGCTCAACAGGCAGGCTCCCTTGCTTCAGGAGCAGGAAGGGAGCTTTACAGAAGTCTCTATCCCCCTGGCCTCTATACTGGGCAGAGCACAGTCCCCACAGCAAGGCCAGCAGTGGAGGGGGGGGGTAGAGAAAAGGCCCCAGTGTGAGACTCGGGAAGGACCAGAAAGTTGGAACTGGAACCATAGACCTTGAAGACAGTGGGGACAGTCCATGCCAGAGAAGGGGCTGGTGTCCAGAACACAAATGAAAGTTACCAGGTCCGTGAATGAGGAGAACAAAGCATGTCCTTGAGAGAGCAGACAAAAGCGAATGGATGGAGTATAAACCTCCTGCATGTGCTTGCGGGCGGAATGATCACACTGGGATCTTTAATGTGGTGCGTACGCCAAGCCATGGTGTTGGTGCTGTAAAACAGCACATGTAGCCAATGAGCGGAAACCCCAGCAGAGTCCTAAGAAGGCGCCGCAATGAGAAAGAAGCAATTTAAAGCACACGCTCAGAAAGTGCAGAAAACATAATTTTTGAAATTATGAACCTCACAGGAGGAACAAGATGGGGAAAGGGGGTTTTGGAGGAAAGAGTAAGTGAACTTGAAGGAGAAGTGAACAGGACACTAGGGACTTGTTAGAGGCTCAGAGGCGTGGAGGCATGGAAGCTGAACGCCCAGGCTAGGAAATGATGGGGTACACACTCTCTGGAACCTGACAGTAACCCCTGGTGAGTGCACAGATAAAAGAATTTGTGTGTCATATGCTGTGGGCTGGACAATGATCAGGTGGGGAGGGCGGGGTCAGAAGCCACCTGCCACCTCTACTTCCTCTTGTGTCCAGTGCTGGGGCCTGGGCATGCTGAGCACAGGAAGTGCCTTCCTTGCTCCACCTGGGAGTTTTATCTTCCGCTATGTGGCCCCTGCAGCCCCCACCTGCCTCTTCTCCAGTTCCCTCTGTGACCTGCGGCCACAAGCTTTGAAGTCACGACCCACCTCCTCTCTCCACACTCTATCATTGTACGTGCTTTCCTGCTGTACCTCACAGACTCCCCTCACCTGTACAGGAGCGATCACTGGACCGCTAGGACTCCTGGGGCAATGCTGGACTTCTCAGCTTGTTCATAAACGTCCTCGGAATTCTGTCTGGAGAGTTCACTTCACCTGGTTGATTTCCCCAGCTCATCAAACCTACACCTACACCACAGGCTGCCCCAACCCCACTCTGTCTGGGGTTTTCTGGCTGGAAAGCAGCTTGGCTCACTGAGCCCCAGTTTGGTTCTTCCTTGTACTTCCCACAATGGAGCCAGGAGTGTGTGGGCATCTTCCATCCCTAAAGGCCCAGTGCTGGGGGCACTGAAAGAAAGGGACTGGTGAGAGTCACGGTGCCCTCCCAAGAGACTGCATCTCCCGGAGTAGGCCCTGCTGAACCGATGGCTTGGATTCTGCCCTGGCTTTAGAAGACTCGCCAAGGTGTTTCATGGAGGCAGAGAGGCTCTGCCTTCCCCAGAAGCAGAAGATAAAGACTGACCTTTGACTCTGTCACCTCGGTGAAGGGGGATCTCGCCGTCGACTTGGGGTTGGTATGGCTTGATGGCGACGAAGAGTCTCCCGGGCACCGCACTGTACAGCTTCCTCCTGGGCCCTGGGTACTCAAAGGTGGAGAGGGAGTCCTTGTTGGCACCAGGAGTGAAGGGCGACCTGAATCAGGCAACAGGGAATAGGAGAGAAGAAAGTCACACTTTGTCAACCATAGCCAAATCAGTTTATTTTTATTATTATCAGTTTATAATATATATAATAACCCTACTGGGCTAAGAGTGGCCTGGCTGGTATGTGTGAGGCCAGATAGTAGTGACATGTGTGGGCCAGGAGCAGTGTCTGTGCTGAAAAGACTCAAGGGGACCCAGTGGCTGCACTGCTGGGTACATCCCCAAGGAAGTAAAGCAGGGTCTCTAGGGACATTTGCACATTGTGTCCCTTGCAGCATCATCCACAGCCCAGGTGTCCACAGATGGATGCTGGATGAACAGCACACCACCACCTATGCAATGGAACATTATTCAGTCAGAAAAAGGATGTTCTGACACTTGCCACAACAGGATGGACCCTGGGGACATTATGCTTGGCGAAGGCAGTCATACAAGCCCATACGCTGCATGATTCCACCCCTATGTGGTCCCTATTGTGAGGTCCAAGAGATAGAAAGTAAGATGGGGTGTCAGTGGTTCACAGGGACAGAGGTTCAGCTGGGGAGATGAAAGGTTCTGGAGGTGCATGGTTGGAACAGTTTCAGAGCACTGTGACCACTGAGCTGGGCACAGACCATGGAGAAGACAGGAAATCTCATGAGTGTCTTACTATAATACTGAAAACAATTGAGGTGCCACCATCGGGGAAGCCCTTGTCATATTTGTTTGTTTGTTTGTTTTTCCAAGTCACTGTGAGCATTGGTCACACTGGCAAGGACACACATGGAATCCTCCATCAAAAGTGCTTATGACCATGGGCATCCTTCTGGCCACTCCCAAGAGGACTTTCTTTACATCACCAGTTTTGTACTGAATTTGTGTTCTAGGTCCAGTTTACCCCAACAGCAAGAAGCCTTAATCTAGACTAGCAATGGGACACATACAGTGCCGGTCCTCACATAGTGCAATCTGTAGAGTCCTCACCATGGAGCACAGTGGACTTCAAATGGGTGACAGACTGACTGTCGCATGCTGGGGACAAGTGATCACCCATGTCCTAAGCAGGGATAACCTCAAGGTGGCCTCCCGTCACTTCTTTTCCCAGAATGGGAGGCTTTGGACACAAACATGACCACATAAAGAAACATGCCAGGATGTCAGCTTTCTGCCCAAAGCTTTCTGGCCAGGAAGGCAGCACCTTCCCAATGCTGGAACCTTCCAAGAGAATACTGGCCAATGGAAAAGAGGGGGCATTTAAAGCATAGGAGGGGATTCCAAACTGAGACAGGACCCCAAATCCCCAGCTCGGGCCTCTGGACCTACAGATGCTGCAGGCTTGAGATTTGTGCAAGGGAAGGAAGGAGCCACTTAACACAAGGACCAGTGGAAAAGAGGCTTGCAGGGAACTTCTAGATGCCGGTGGGATGCTCTTTGATTAGTTAAGGTGAATTTCTGTCTGTGTTTCATTTCTGTTGCTGTGATAAAACACTCTGACAAGAAAGCAATATGGGGGAAGAAGGGCTGATTTGGCTCACAATTCTAGGTCATAGTCTGTTTCTGTGGGGAAGTCAAGACAGGCACTTCAAACAGCTAGCACATCCCATCTAGTCAAGGGCTTGGCGAAATGAACAGAGCTAGCTTTCTCCTCTCTTCTTCAGCCCAGGACCCCAAGTCTAGGGAATAGTGCCACCCGTGTGCCCACATCAATTAAGGTAGTTAGAAGAACTTCCTCACAGGCATGCCTATCCAGCTTGACCTAGGCAATCCCTCATTGAGTTGATCTTCCCAGGTGCCTTTTATACTGTTTGCCCATGTGTACAAAGGTCCTGTGGTTTGGGATGGTCTTATAGAATTGCAAAAGTGTTCTCTGCTATATTTAACTGTACTTCCTACTTTCTCTGGTCAATAGTGATGTGTTATCCTTTATGTCATTGGCCCATGGGTTCTTACTTTTCCAACTGGCATGATCATGGGATTCAGCCACTGGATGCTGTTTGAGGTCTTTGAGGGGCCCAGTCTATAGACTGGACATTGGGGCTGTGGTATGCTAAATTTAGGCCCTCATTTACAATGTTGGTGAGGATGGATGGGGACCGAATGCACAGGCCTTGCTTGCCCCAAAGCCTGGATCTGCCCTTCATCCATGTAAAGCAAAGAGGAAAAAGGCCAGGCCTCCTGACTTCTTATAGCATGGGTGCAAGGTCTGGAGACAAACCTGGGCTCTGTGGACACTGGGGGAGATAGAAAGGCTGCATGTAGCTGGGGTTCTCCCCAGCAATGCACCCTCCCACACAGGGTTTTCTAAATCATAACCATGAATGCAATCATTACAGAATTCTGGAGGCACAGGTGCCTGAGTGGGCTACGTGACCACAAGGATGCCAGGTGTTAGGTGGAGATGGAGGATAAGGCACGACCTCAGCACTACCACCTTATATAACCTCTCCTCTTGTCAGCCACATCTTGGTGCTTCATGGATCCATCCATCCATTCACCTTCCCACATATCCATCCATCCATCCATCCATCCATCCATCCATCCATCCATCCATCCATCCATCCACCTTCCCACATGTCCATCCATCCATCCACCTTCCCACATGTCCATCCATCCATCCATCCATCCATCCATCCATCCATCCATCCATCCATCCATCCATCCATTCATCCATCCATCCATCCCTTACCAATATGTCCATCCCCCATCCACTATTTGTACATCCATCTACTTAGCCATTGTCAACCACCTGTCCATCCACTCATCTGCTTACCTGACTGCATAGCCCAACATGATCTTTTCACTCACACACCCAAATTTTCAAGAAACATTGCCCGAAGCCCAGCTGACCCTTTATTATCAGATATTGGACAATTCAGTGAATCTCTTGAAGCCTCAGAAGCATTGACCCCATTTCCCAGATGGGGGAGAGGTTCCATGAATAATAACCTCACATGGAAGTCAGAGAGACCCTGGCATCCTGATGCTCGATCCTGCAGTGTAGTAAAAGACAGGAGACTGTACGTCAAGGGGAGGTGTTTTATGAACAGTGCTCTCCTGCCCAGGGGCCATGTTCTCCTTATGGCAGCCTTGAGCAATAGTAGAGCCATGGCCCCTCCACAGCCCCAGGTAAGGGGTAGTCTCAGATGAGCAGGCTTGAGAAGCCAAGCTGGGACACACAGTGTGAATGGTTCAGCAGTTCCCCAGCCCTGGCATCTGTTTCCTTCATGTTCTGGCCAAGAGCAGCCAGATGGAGTACCAGCTAACTTGTTTCAGTCTGAGGGTTAGACTGCTGGAGATTCAGTACCAGAAAGCCAACGTTCTGTTCTGGGGGTAACTGGGAGGGGTAAATTGGGCCATTTCCCAGCTACCCCGTGTGAACAGGAACTACCCACACACTGAGCTCTCTCCATTCATTCACTCCTCCATCAGTTACTCATTCATTTATTTATAACTTCCCAGGTGGTCCAGCACAGGGCAGCACACACATCTGAGCACAGAAGACAGGAGAGGCCACAGAGGGTGAGCCAGAGTGTACTCCAACCAGGTATGTCTCTGCCAAGACCAGGGTGATGGCAGAAGTCAAGGTTTGTGTGCACACACCCTGTCTAAGCTAGGGTGAGAGTCACGGCAACTGAGACCACAGAAAGTGCCTGAAGGAACACATGGCTGTGGCAGTAGGATGGGACCAGAGTGGTCCAAGGATGGAGGTGGGGCATTCTATAAGGAGGCACCGTGACTGCTCTTGGGAAGATAGGGGTCAGGGCTGATATGCGGAGTCAAAGAATTCCAGATATGGCCAGGAGGAGTCAGCTGGCGGAGGCCTGCTGAAATCACTGTCTCTCTGGGAGAGGGCTGGGGTAATGGAGGTTGTGAGAGCGGCTAGCTGGGGCTTGGGCACAGCAGATGGCATGTCCAGCACACAGGGGCTCGAGCGCCGGCTGTGGGTCAGCTGCATTACCCATCATTGCTATGCCTACAGACTCAACACATGTCATCCTGTTCTTTTCTGGCCACTTAGGACTTAAGAGCAAGGAACATACTAAACCAGCAAGGACGTGAGGCATATTTCAGGCACCTTAGTTCACCCTGCCCTCAGTTGCCCATCCCCAGGAGCTATTACAGGGACAAAGACTTGCCATCATTTAATAGGCCCATCACAAAGAGGCCACTTCAGGAGGGGCCAGGATACAGGTGGGACAATCAGCCTTCAGTGGGCAGCCCCACTACATCTTTGAGAGTGAATAGAGTGAGGAGCCCACCCAACTCACAGGTAGGAAGTGGGGTACCAGTACTGTGTGGACCATGGAGGAGTACCTCCTTTGTCCAGATGGCCAACGAGCCCTTAATGGCTCTAGTTGGATGGGAGAGGGTTCTGCCTGTCTGTAAGGCCAGGTCCACCCCAACTCCAGAGACCTCCACTCTGTGATAATGGCTGCTCTAATCATGGCTTCTTTCCCATGTTTTCCCATCCTCTGCTGAACTTATGGGGTATCATCCCTTCTTGACACCCACTCATTTTCTGTCGGATGTCTCCAATCCTCCAGAGAGTAGCCTTATCCCTCCCCAGGTCTGAATGCCATCTTGTGTGAAGCTGTTTCCAAGCTGTCTCCCTCCCATGCAAGGTGGGGAACACACATTCACCTGCACACAGGGAATGGCCCATGCAAGGGGCTGTAACTCCTGCACCCAGGCACTTGTGGCCTGCCAGTGGGGCCCCAGACTACTGCACTTTGCAGAAGACACAAGGAGAAGGGGTATCTGAACCCAGATTCCATAAGCAGCCAGGATGCACCTGCTCCTATGGGGAGCACCCTTCACACGGCCCTACCTACTCCAACTGTAAACCTGGTAGTCTCACCCACAGTGTACTGATGGTGTCTGAGTGACATGCTACCACACATTAGGTGTGGGTGATAAGAAGGTGGCCAGGGAGATCTAGATTCCATATTAAAACTCTCTCTCTCTCTCTCTCTCTCTCTCTCTCTCTCTCTCTCTCTCCCTCCCTTCCTCCTTCCCTCCTTTCCCTTCCCCATCCTCTCTCTCTCCTCCCTCTCTCTTTCCCTTTTTCTCCCTCCCTCCCCCCACTTTTCTGTTAGCACAGCCCAGGGATCAGGATGGAATCCAGAGGCGGGAGCCCTTTTTCCTCTTTGCTGAGATAACCATGTCTCTGCTCCATTGAGGGTAGGATTGAGTGTGCAGGTCCCCATGTTCCTATAGATCCAGAGGGAGAACATATGGGTAGAAACAGGCCATAGCCACAGGCAATCTGACTGTCACCTTCACAGCCATGTCTGATAGGTTGGGATGGACAGGCAAAGTGGTTACCCCAGAATCTTCTACAGCCTACAGGAAAAATACTAGACTGTCCTGTGCACTTTGAAGTCCATGGCACATCTAGAAAGTTTTATGATCTCTGAGCACCTTGCTTTGTGATGTGAGATCCTTGTCTCAAGAGGGTGTCCTTCCCTGATATCAACTGAAGAACTGGTATTTGTTGGGGGGAAAAGATGGTGATGCTAATGTCACCATCCTCACCTCATGACCTGAAACCCCAGGGATGGATGGGGCTTGGAAAGGGCAGCACATCCCAGATGAACACAGCCGGCAGGGGGCCTAGGATACCACTGTCTCCCCAGTGATCTCACCAGCACCAGGCCTTTCTCCCTGCCAAAGCAAGAGTCACTTGGGACAGATAAGATAGTAGCGAAATGTCCCTGTGATGAGTACAGCCAGATCAGCCTGTGATATTGAGCACTCTTCCACATCTGGGCAGCAGAGAGAGGCCTGGGAGTACTGGACTGCCCCATCCAGCTCCCAGGGTTCCCACAGGGTAAATGCAAAGTCTCCAGGGAAAGTTAGCAGGATTGTGACTCAGCTGTGCCTCTGGGTGCCACTAGAGGGTGCCATCTCTGGAGAGGTGAGCACTGAGACTCACCTGTGCTATATAGGCCCAGGGCAGAAGCTGTGGACAAGCACACTGCTTCCCACTCTTTCTGGGCCAGCCTGCATTAGTTAGGACAGGGTAGAAGAATATCAAAGAAGAAACTGAGGAAAGGGAGACAAAAGATACTAGGAAAAGGAGAATGGACTCCTCCAGTGAAGACAGGGCCATGGCAGGTGCCTGTCCACACCCTGTTATCCTCCACTGCCTGCCACAGCAATCACAGGAAGCCAGTAAGACCCATTCCTGCGGCCCTGAATCTCTCTGATGGCCACCAAACACAGCCTCAAGGCCCCATAATGAGCTGCTCCCTGAGAGTCTCTTCTCTTGGCTAAGAAACTCAGGAAAGCAGAGGTGTGCTTGGGAGCTGACATGGGATGCAGTTCCCCTCCTGGCTGTGTAGATTGGAAGCCCCTTCCCTAGGGAAGGCCCAGGCTGTGACACCCTGGGTGGTCCCTCAGCCTGCCCCATTCTAGCCTGCTGCCTGGGCTGCTTCAGAGGTGGTGGAGGGGTTCTGAGGCCCTGCCGTGCTGGGCAGACACAGTGCCCACTTGTAGCATAAGCCAAGGCTGCTGGGGACATGGCTGGTCTCTTGTGCAGTAACGTGGCTCTGAGCCTCGGCTGTTTCCTCCAGGCTGAGATGTCCCATTGCTGTAAGCATGTGGTCCCTGGAGTGGACACAGTGTGCATGATAGGAGGAGACTGCTACAGGCTGGATGACGGCAAAGACTGTACTCTCCACCCTGACTCCCTAAGGCCATTTCGCTTCAAGAACCAAGGAGCCAAGGCACTGGGAAGGGCATAAGGCCCCTGCAAAGCTCAGCTTCCCTTACCCATGCTGAAAAATAGCCATTAAGGATGCCAGGCTAAAGAGGGAGCCCCCAGCCTCAGAGGGCAGAATTCGGCGTTTTCTGGGGTAGCCTGAGTTGAGAAACATGTATGGCTAACCGTCTCCCACGGGAGCCCATGCCCACTCCCCAGCCTCTCCTTACCCCACGTGCCAATGTGGCTGTGGCCTCTTGCCATCCTCGCCAGTGCCACCGAGCCTGTTGAGTGAGGGGGAGCGGCTGCGGGGCCCAGGGGCATAGCTTCCAAGGCTCTTCGTGGCTCCATCAGGCTTGTTGGGCGTCTGCTGCAGCAGCTGGGGTGAGAGGCTGCGGTGGGAGGTGGCTGCAGAGCAGACAGCCCATTCAGGTGCACCAGCATGGAGGTTGTTGTCACTATTGGAACGCAGAAGAACTCTGGGGGCAGCCAATGTATTGGGGGGCCGCCGCCTGCGGTTGGAATAAGCTGGGGCCTCTCGGAAGGGCACTGGTTTGGGGAGAGAAAGAGAGGCAGATTAGTAATGCCAGGGAACAGGGACACAGGGAGGCCAGGTTTGCATGCATCCGAGGCCCCGTGCAAGCCATGGACGGGCCTGAAGGCTTGATGCAAGATCTGTTGCTGGGCTCCCCAAGGCCTGACTCACCCCCGACATGAATGCAGAGGAACACTGAGGCACATGGAAGCTCAAGCCAGGACCTCGATGGAAGGGAGTCAGGGTCTGACCTTCCATCGGGCCAGCCCATGCCTTCAGCAGGAAGACACAGCCATGACGCATATAAGGATAGGCTTCCCAGTGTCACTAAGGATTAGGACACTGCATGGCTCAGGAGCATCCCCTAAAAACTCGAAATTGACCTCTGTGATGGGCAGACCTGTGTGCCCTAAGTTCATACACTAGGGTATAACCCGGGACCTTAGTATGTGGCCACATGTGGAAAGAGGTCCTTTATAGGGGTGACTACATTAAAATGGGTCACTAGGATGACCTCATGTGACAGCAATAATCAGAATCCAGAGATCAGGACCCAGACACACAGAGGATGACATGAGGTACGGAGAAGACATCATCTGTAAGCCACAGACAGACCTCAGGGAAGCAGCTCTGTGTTAAAACTTGGGCATTCAGCATCCAGGATGGGGAATGAGGGATATTTCATCTTTATGAACCACTCAGGCCTAAAGCCTTGGTCACGGCTCTCCCAGCAAGGGAAGCCAGCCACTTCTGACCACCCCCCACCCCCCCGCCGCCGCCCCTCCAATCTCTTAGGTAGAGGAGCCCACAACACCTCAGAATCTTCCCTTTCTCCTCCCAGCAAGTGGGGCCTAGCATCATGTGACCCCACTTCACTGAGTGTTTGTCTCACAGAGAGGTCTAGACAGAGCTGGGTCCTCACACTCCTGAGACCAACATACCCAGGGACTCAGATAATGCAAAGACGGACACCTCAAGGGATGGTATTCACACTGCAGTCACCCTGAGCATTTAGCTGCTTGGCCAGCAACAGAAATCGATCTCTACATTACAGAACATCTCAGGACCAGCCCTCCAGGCTGCAGGGACAGTAGATGCCCTCACCTTGATGGCCAGAGATACTGTGTATATCCTAGCCTCTTGATGCCCAGGGAAGCTTTGCTACAGGATTTCTGCCCCTAGATCCTTAAAGCTTGTACTGCCCAAGGCTAGGGCTCCATTCTACAGACACGACCCCATGAAGCCAAAGAGAACCAGGGCTTCCAGGGGAACTGACCTGAGTAAGGACCCTGACATCAAAGTTGAAGCAGAACATCACAGTTTATGATAAGCCTATGGCATCAGCTACACAAGGTCCGAAGTTAGAGGTGGGCACCTCAGAGCTAAGATGCCCGCTCCTTCACAGAGTCCACAGCCTTCTACTCATCTGGACAGCAGGAGGATGAGGACATAAGTGGTACTAGAATTAGGTAGCTTGGACACAGTTCGCGGGAACAGAATGACTTTGGCAGACCTTATGGGGTCAGAGGTGGCCCTGGAGAGCTGACGGTAATAGAGGTGGCTCTGGAGGAACTCACCGGGACAGAGAGGGCCCAGGTGTAGCTCAAGAGGTGGCCCCGGCAAACTCACAAGGACAGAGGTGGCTCTGGAGGAACTCACCGGGGACAGAGGTAGCACCAACACCGCTCATGAGGACTGAGTGGCCTTGACATGCCCTCTAAGGACAGAGGTAGCCCCTGCATAGTTCCCAGGGACAGAGGTGGCTCTGACAGTACTCTTACAGGTCAGCTGCGACTCAGGACACTCCTCTTTTCTAGGAATCAGAGTGAGAGGGCCGGCGGGAAGCCACACGGCAGGGAAAGAAGGTGTTGGGCTCAGGGTCATTTGATATACAGAGGGAGTCCTCACCCTCAGTGGACAGGGCCATGTCTCAGGTACCCTGTTTCCTTTGCAAGCTTTTGATGGGGGAAGATGCTCACCAAGCCTCCTGGCTATATGCTATCTCACTCCCAGTTTCTCCAGCATGTGACTCACAGGGGCTGGCCAGGAACAGGCCAGCAGTACCAAAGGCCGATAGTGTCTGCTCTGGAGCCAAGAGCCTGTGCCTTTGAAGAGCTAGGCCCAGAGCCCCAGCAGCCCACCTCCAAAAGAACCATAGCTAGGTCAGGCCACCAAGTGTGATTGGCTGGGCACAAAGGAAACCTTGCTGATGGTGTTACCCCGAATAGGACCTTGAGAAATCTCAGAGTATTCACCATGGAGCCTATAATTGTTACCAACAGGGGAGCCTGTGGTGATCTTGGGACTTACAGAGGTGGGGGATTTAAAAGGCCTTAAGGACAGGTGACCCCACAATCTCGGCAGGCCTCATCTGTCACTCACTGAGATCGGGGGCTGGCAGGCTCTTTTGGTGTGAAAGCCAAAAGGCTGGCAGACATAGGATAAAATGGTCCCCGCACCTTGGGGCTTCCAGGAGTACCCCCTGGGTGAGGCACATGGGGGTTACCGCACGGTTCCAAGACCCAGACATGTTGGCACCCTGCAACTGTGCATCTGTAGAGCCACCCATCCCTAACAGTGCAGTTGATTGCATCTCTGACTGTGTAACCAGTAAGGTATTCACACCCTTAATGGCAAGGTGAGTAGATATGGGGCCGGGGGACTAAGGTCCTGCCCATTGAGAAGATACACTCCGTAGGAAAGGAAAGTCCATAGAAACACAGCATAGAGATAGCACTGCTTAACACACTAGCCCATGGCTGCGATTCACGCCATCCATGGGTCATAAAAATCGAAGTCCCACATGGCGCGTTTTGGTAAGCCTCATGAGAAAAAGAATCGAGTCTATTCTATATCCATTCTGAAGGAAGGAGGGGGCAGGATGTCCTCACGCAGGCGAGGCCATGCAGGCAGGGTCATAGAATAAAACAGCCGGGACATTTATACACATTTCACCCCAAAGACCAGGCAAGTGAGTCAAATGGACCCACACAGGTGACATTAGGGTGAATGGTTTAATGAAAATCGCTTTGCTTAATAACCAAACCACACATCAAATTAGTTTCCAGGCTGCTGAAATATCTCTGGTGTTTAGCTCACAGTGAGCTTAGGTGGAAAGTGAGCTTTCTAATTTTCTTAAAGTCACCTCTTTGGAAACCTGGTTTCATCAGAGAAATCGCTTGCCGTCTGACAAAACTCTCTGACTGGGACCATACACGAAAAGAATGTTTTTTTTTTTTTCATAAAAAGTGTTAAAAATAGCTTCTTTCCTGTCTGAAAATGATTAATATGCCACCCAACGGTTTCCTTCTTTCAGGCAATCTGCAAGCTCTTAGGTGGGTGGATATTTTCTTAGCTGTCTTACATGCATTTATTTATACAGTTTTTTTCTTCCCCACAATAAAATTCATACAAGGTATAATAAAGAGGGATTCTTCGTGCACCCCATGGCTTCACAACCCAGGGACAGCCAGGCAGAACTGGCAACTGGCACTGGAAGAGGATGCCATGGGAGCATCCAGCCATGTGCCCTGACCCTCCTTAGCAGGTGCTCACAGCCTCCAGGTAACTGGAGGATGAAAGCCAAAACTTCTTTTATTTTCCCTAGGACCTAGTTTCCCAATGTGCCCTCTGGCACAGGCTCTCTGGATGAGATGTTCTGGAATGCAGTTCCACCAGAGGCTGGTGGCTTAGGAACACACTAAAATACAAAGGCACCTTCATCTGTGTTAATCTTCCAGACCTGGCTAGAACCAAACCATATCACAAAGCTGGGGCAATTATTCCTTGAGCGATGAACCGCAACCAGCAATTTGGGGAGGCACCCAAGTCCCCTCTCCCCACAGAAGCAGCCCACAGCTGCTCACTAGGCACCCCACGCTTCCTACAGCTTTCTCCTTACCTTCCTTCTTGGTGAAGGCATTTAACAAAGACTTCATTTTCCCTGTGACTTTGGCAGCGGTCCGCTCATTATATAACCCTCTCGGCGGGCAGGAAGGCTAGGCGCGCAGCCCGGCCCCTCGGAGCTGGCGCGGCTGGGACCCGGCGAGCAGTGGCGGGCGTCTGGGCGCTCTGCAGCCCCGAGCATCGCTGGGCATGCCAGACCCAGCGTGCTGGTGACAAAGCCCACCCCATATTCTGTCTGTCAGCTGGGAAGCAACTGTGCGCAGACTGAGGCTGCTCTCAGAGCCGGCTACCTCTGGCGGCGATCCTCATGTGAGCAATGCCACTCTGCTGGGCGAGCAAGCAGGGCATTGGGGAAGCAGCACCACGCAGGGTTAACATGGAGCAGGCGACTGCGCGCAAGCTGGCGGCCAGGAGACACCGGGAGGCATTTGTGAGCCGGAGCCCCAGTTATCCAAGGAAACCCGGCTGCTGCCGGGCGCTCCGTGCGCCTGTGGCTAAATATAAAGTACTGTGCTTTTTCTTTTTTTCTTTTCTTTCTTTTTTTTTCTTTCTTTCTTTCTTTTTTTTTTTTTTTTTTTTTTTTTTTTTTTTTTTTTTTTTTTTTTTTTTTACATTTTTAAAGAAGAAGCCAAGTCTGTTTGTCAGCTAGCAGATGTGGTAAGAAAGTCAAGGGGGAAATATCCACATTCCAGACAAGCCAACAAAAGATCCCTGACACTCTGGTAGGCATGCCAGGATTCAGGAATCCTGACAGTGACCTATTTCCCTTTGAAAGAATCAGACACAAGTAGCATTACTTCTCTGGCCCTCCCCATTCTGACAATGACCCTGGGGAAGCAGGGCTCCGCCTCCTGCCGCTTACATTTGCTTTTTGGGGGGAGGGGATAGGAAATAATAACTGGCAAGGTAGTCAGAGGTAAAGCACCCCCATTTGGGGGCAGTTGGCAGAAGTGGGCCCTTCAGAGCTGTTTCCCCACATGTCTCTGGCATTCGCACCCCAACAGAAGTCTAGGAGAAGCAAGGGAAGATCTCCCCAACTGCTGCCTTGAGAAAGTTCTAATCTGTATAGCAAACAAGGCGGGGGTGGGGGGCTGGGGGGTGGGGGGTG